ACTCAGTGCTGAGTCACGGATGACGTCTTTGGCCGGAGGGTGTTGAGCGAGTTGAGCATGGAGGCACTCAGCAGAGTTGTTCGGAGCAGAGTTTCTCTAGCTGTCGGATGGCGCTTGTTTCCCCAAACTCAGTGCTGAGTCACGGGTGACGCGTGTGACCGGCTTTCGATGTTTGTATCGCGATGCAAGCGAGTTGCGTTGAGTTAGGGTGGTCTGCACACACACACACAGACACGGTCATGGTTTTGCATTTTCGTTGGTTGGCATTATCATGTATTCTCGGTTTCGCGAGTTTCCTAGGCGGTGCGCTTATACCGTACATCCGTTTACTAGTCTTTGAGCAGCTCCTACCATTTTGTGGTTTGTATTCTTGTGCGTATGCGTTCAGCTCATAAAACGCTGCTATGATTGTGGAACTTGATTGATCTCTAGGAATCTAGGAGCGCTGGTCGTGCTAGCCCGTGGCTTGCGCATATGGCTCGTGGATTTGGTAGGGCGGCAGCACCTCCGATCCTAAAGGTCCGTCACCGACGAGAGAAGCATCCCAAGACATACTCTTGCTTCCCGGCTGCGATACGTTTGAACCTATTGCTCGCTTGATGGAGTCTTTCTGGCAGGTGATGAGTGCGACTTCGTCGCCGGGAAGCGAGACCAGCTGAACCATCACAAGGCCATGGTCCACAGACAGGCCGACAACTCAGACAAGTTCCGGGCAGACTCACAATCGGTGCCGCCTTTCGCTTGGCTTGCAACCTCTGGTCTCAAGACATCGCAATGAAGACCATATGGTCATATCATACGATGGCATGGAGCTGCACAGCATGCAGGATCTGTTTCGGATCCGTAGATGTGGAGCTCTCAACGCCTAAACCCAAGACAACCCTGGCCAGTGTGAGCAGACACGGCAGAGATCGGGGCGGTAGTGGGAAAGCAGCGTCTGAAAGCAGACCCGGTCCGCAGCGAGCAAAGCGCAGTGAAGCCATGGCGCTGCAGAGTTGGCCGCCTTGGAGGCGTGTTCCTTAGCATCATCAGTAGCACTGCATGATCAATCCTGCAATACATTAGCTTCGACAAGGAACCCTGAGACCTTTATATTCCCCGAGGCCCAACAGCAGTCACAGAAGTTTCACGCTTCTCTCACGAAGCCATGAAAGCTCAACCTCTCCAAGTCTTAGGGGACTCCAGTGCTCTCAGAGGACGGTTCCTCTCGCATTCCGCGACCCTGCGGCTTGCCGCACAGCCTTGCGTGATTAAGTTTACTTCAAGCTGATGCGCTGCGCGCAGCACTTCACGTTCGCAGATGGTGGTTGCATTAAGCTATCTTCCGTGTGGAGGTGAGGATGGAGCGCGGCTCGAAGACCAGTCACTCGGATCCGAAAAGAGCAGGGCAGAGACGGAGGGGCATAGCCTGCTCCTCCCTTCTCCCCCCCCCCTTCCTTCCCTCTTGTGTCCTCTTCACCTTGACAAGGCCAGAAGAGTCGGGACTCCACTAGCGATGCCTCGGCGACTGGGCGTATCGTAAAGGGTTGAAAACCGGGCTCCAGAGAGACCGCTGCACGGCGGGTCCGTGGCCGTGTTGGCTCAAGCATTGCGCGCTGTTGAGACCAGATCGAGGCATCCACAACACCAAGATTTGATGCGATGCAAAAGGCCCTTGCAAGAAAGAGCTCTGGGCCTCTTCTTCGTCGCCTTTATTTTCAGCCCCTCATATAGAAAAAATGCCAGGACTCCTGAGTCCACACTCGGCTGTTCGCCGCGACGATGCGATCCAGATAGCGTTTTTCTGTATGACTTTATGACCTCGAAGTTTTGGCCACCAAGCAGAGCATGCCCAACGATGGCTGTTGGAGCTGCGCAACGGGCGTCAAGGACACTGCATGTCCAGACAAGAGGCCCACCTTGTGGTTCACGGCGCTGAATCGAAGGATGCCCCAGAAGCTCCTCGCAGAGCATGATCCGCTCGGCCTTCCAAAGGAAACATGTACTGCCATGAGGCTTCGACCTGTGGCAGCGTCGGCTTGAAGGCAATCCGAAGTTTGGCAGCCAAAAGGCCTTCCGCGACGCAGTTCTCAAGATTCTGGGTCAGGCGAGAGTGTCCAGCTGACCCCGATCACAAATGCCCGGCGTGGAACGAATACACCCGCGGTACCGCATCCCGTGTGAAAGGGAAGGCGATGCCGGTTTGGCAGGCTTGGAATGAGCACATGGAGCTTCGCGCAGTTGTCGGGCACCTCGCAACAGGAAACAATAAAGTGGCCTTGCAAGTCGATGATTCTGACATCTTCAAGTGGCAGAAAACAAAGGTGGCCACGCGACGCTTTCGTGGCTGCACTCTATGACTTCTATGCCCAGCCAAGGGGCTTTGCCCCCTCAAAAGAGCCTCCTGCTGGGAAGGGCGAGCACAGGCTCACCGACCAGCACTTCTTGAGTACTTAGCTGCAGCATATCAATGGCCTCGAGCTCAACTCCGCTCTGCTTACTTCCACTGGCACACAGAGGTTCCTAGAGCCGAACTCGAGGAGCGTCGTACCCACCGTCTCGAAGATGCACCCTGCAAATTCGAAACGGTAGGTAAGACGCCCATCTTTTGCACTTCCTGGTTTAAGAGCAGCAAGCAGCTAAAATGCAGTCGCACACAGTGCAACGCCGGAACAGTGTTTGCGTCCAAAAGCCTCAACCAGTTCAGACCGACCTGCGTTTGGAGCTGCTCAGCGAGCAGGGCATGGACAAGGACCTTGTCGCTGCCACCAGACAGGCGTTCCGGAGATCGACAGGCCTTCGTGGCACAGCTTCGGGAAAAGGGCGTATTCAAGGCTTCTCAGCTGAGCTCCGTGCAGGACCTCAACCTTCCGAATGACCCGACGTTGAGAGGCCGGTTCCCGAAATCGAGGCCCTTCGCCACGGCAGGAGGTGTCACAAGACCTTATACAAGCACACAGCACCTGCTCAACTCAGCCATTGCGGATGCCCAGGATACAGTCAATCAAGGCAGGCGCTGCAGAAGCTATTCTGGACACCACCAAGGGAAAAAAATCGTCTCCAGGAACGCATGCTCTCAGGTGGCTTCGTGAACGGACGAAAGCTTCCGCTGCTTGTTGCCTATGTGCTGGCATCATGCGCGGCATGAGGATTGCGCATCGTAGTGGGGCGAGGGTTGCAGTACGTTGCAGTCGATTCCTTTAGTCAGCAGGCTGTTCGCCTGGATGCGCCAGTGCATGCTTACCGGCATTGTTCCGTGAACACGGTTTTCACTCCGAAGGGCTTGGCGGGGTCAACAGCAGAACTTTGTTTTGAAGCGGTTGGCGAAAAGTAGAAGCAACCAACGCTCCGGCAGCTCTTGGATCTCCCGAGGAAGACTCTCTGGACACCTTCGAGGCCGCGCAGCGGCAGGGCATGCTCACCCGTGAGGAGAGTCGCGACGGAGAGTCGCGACAGAGAGAGAGCTTGAAAGAAGTCTCATCTGTGTCTCATGAGTGCATTGTGCTGGAGGAGATCGCCAATGCTCAAGTCATCGATCCCGAGCTCTTCACCAAGGGCAGCTTCTTTTGTGCCGTGGCAGAAACAAGGGGCGAAGGGCCGTGCGCTGGGTGTACTGTGCGAACAGTGCGTGGCCAGTGGCAGGCTCACTCTCTGCGCTTTTGGCCGTCGTGGGCCTCGTAGTACGGACCTAAAAAGAGCTCATGACAGGAAGAAGAGACTTGCGGAACTCTCCGCTCTTTTCAGGAAATGGGTCTGGAGACGGACTACCGCTGCAACACCGGACGATGTCAGCTGCTCAGCCGTTGTGGAGCTTCGCATTTTTTGAGCTCTCTCGCCTTGTTAGGTGTTGGGGACGAACCTCTTTGGGACTTGCTGCGCCTCTCCTTGCATTCGAGCTGACTTTTGGGCTCCTCAGATGCCGCCGAAGACTAGCAGACTACAGTCCACGTTTTGGGGGGCAAGGACACAGGACAGACCTGCCTAGCCAATCTACCCAGCATGTGCACTGTGCGGGATTTTTTGGTGTTGCGGCATGCGCACGTTGTGATGGGTTCTTCCCATCGAGGGTCGGCAGAGTGCCACCAGCATGCACACAGGATTTTTCGGAGTAGTTGCGGCCAGAAGATACACTTCATGAGACACCATGAGGGGCATACCCCTGCCGTAGCAGTTCTTGATGTTTGGAATCGGTCTGGAAAAGCTTGTTTGTATCAAGTTTGGGTTTGAGCATTGCCATCACCGGCTCAGGCCCTCTCCATCTGTCCCCAAAGCTTGAAAAAAACAGAGACTCTCCCAGCTTCCTGAGCCTAGGAATCTGATCTTCACCATCCTGCCCGTGGCCGAGAACGGCCTGCGCCTCTGGGAGGCCAAGCCGCGAAGGCGCTTCCTTGCAATCTGCCATGGGGAAAGGTGGGGTTTTAGGGTTTAGAATTTATAGGGTTTAGGGCCGAAGTGTAGGGGTTAGGAGTCTAAGGTTAGGGGTTTAGGGGTTTAGGGTTTACTAGTTCCTTCTTCCTTTGCCTGCTACCAGACATCTGATCGCGATGAACGCCTTTCATCAGCCCCCGGAGAGAGCCTGCCACGCGACAGGTTCATCATGGGCGACAAGACAAAGGCCTCACAGCACGTTTGGGTGAGTAAGTGTGCAAGCTGCACTGCCCATGATGTGCGCTACTCGTCCATAGGGGACGCCTGTTACACCTACATGCATACATCCACGCCTGGATTTGCATGCATGCATGCATGCATGCATGCATAGAAAAAACCATATGCATATTATATGCATTCTCACACCTGCCTATTTACATACATACATACATACATACATACATACATACATACATACATACATACATACATACATACATACACACGTAAATAAAAATGCAGGCGAGCTGTCTTGTTCATAAAAGTCTGGAGTTTTCATTGCGCCATGGTTCACTCATGTGTGCAGCCTTTGTTGAGGGTATAGGGTTTAGGGAAATCCGCTGCCGTGCCCGAACAATTTATTCCTGGTGCCTGATGCTCCCGACCTGTTCTCGACAAATCCTGCGCAAGTGCCTGAGAACGCCGCTCCATGTGTTGAACCAGGGCGCCTGAACAAACCATCCCCCATATACATGCATACAAATATACATAATAGATACATATATGAGCCCTTATACATATACATATACAATATCAAATGCCTAGCTAAATAGTATATGGCCAAGTGCACAAGCCGAAATCCAAGAGTTTTGGACCGACAATGACAAAGTGTTTAATATCGAACTTCCAAGCCAGGCGTCAAATATGCCCTAATGGAGCGACTCTCTCTCTTTCTCTCTCTCGCTGTCTCTCTCTCTCTCTCTCATATATATATATATATACTTTTGTATGTGTGTGTGTGTGCGCATGTAAGTATGCATGCATGTCATGCACCTGTCCATGTGGACCCATGCTCGTCCACACACGTGTGTGTGCGTGTGTTGCATGGATGGATGGATGTACTTGTAGGTACTTCTTGTAGATGTTTGTAGGCATGTATGTAAATGTATGTGTGTATATAACTGTATATGCATGTGTGTATATATATAATATCTACATGCTACCCCGCTCGTCCCAGAATCCGCGCGTCTAGGGTTTGTACTGACTTGGCCTCCTTTTCTGCATGACTGGAACAGCAACAAAGCCTCAGAGTATTGCCGTCAGCGTTAATCTCGACGGCACGCATCCATGAATGCGACGACGACGGAATATTGATTTCATGATTTTGACAATTACACACCCAGACCTGTTGCTCTCCACTCCAAAAGGGGGTTTCCCTAGTCCCGCAGAAAGGCGAGCGAGAGGAAGGGAGGGGGAGAGGGAGAGGGGGGAGGAGGGGCAGGGGGCGGGGCAAAGAGGGAGGAAGGGCACTGCTAGCACCTGTGCTTGGCCAGGTCAAGTTCAAGCTGGACTGGGCGAACTGCACTGATGCGCTGCTGGTGCTGCTCAGGCCGTGACTGCGGCGGCCTTTCCGTTCCGTTCCTGTGCCGATGCTGCAGGATTCTGGATGTTTGGGTGCTGAGTCCCCTGGGGATCGACTCAGGCCAGCACCTCGCGTTCACGCCTAGGGCCTACCTAGGGTATTTCTGGCATGGCATGGAGGTCTGCGCATGGCGACCGGGTTCAGGATCCTTCGCATCGGCCCAGCTGTCAAGCCCGGCCCTGAAAACTCAGAGGAAAACAGAAAACTCCGTGTCTTTGCTTGCAGAAAAAGTGCTGCATGCAAGGCATTGGCAGGCGACCAAGGAGCTGCGAGAGCTTTGGATCGTGATTGGCGCCGTTTCTGAGACGACGCTTGCCTCAACCTGGCCAACCTTTGTCGACTTTGCGGAAATAACTGCGCGCTTGACGAGGTTCAAGACGCTCATCTGGGTTGGGGTCATGCTGATTTTCGTCGCCTGGCAGGTTTAACTCGCAGCCTTAGGGAGCCAGCTCTTTTTTCACTATTGCAGCCGCCAGAGAGAAAGCTCTGAGAGCGGATTCTTCGAGGTGATTTGGACCTTTGGCATCTTGATCACCATGTCTCTTATAGACCGACGGGGCGAGGACACAGTCTCGAAATATGGACTGGAGTCGCCGATGCGTGGCAAGTGAAGCCCAGCTCCGGAGGAGTTCAACTTCACGTCCTCCACATGGACCTTCGCCGACTACTGGGGCAGTGTGCCACGAAGCGCTTACTCGCTCTTCCAGGCACTCCTGAGATCATGCAAGCTCCTCGGGATCGGTACATCTGTGCCTGTGCTCTGCCGGCAGGTTGCCACCAGAGACAGTTGGATTTCTGCCATGGTGGCGCCGTTGATAGAGACTGAGCCGCTGTCCTTTGGCAATTTGAGAGGCCCTAAGCCCTCCCCTTCCAAGCAAAAGGCCCTTGCCGTACCCAAGGCTTCTGATCATCTTCGGCTTCTACTTCTGCATCGGATCCCTGGCGCTGATGAATGCCATCATCGGTGTCGTCGTCGAGTGCCTCGGCAGCCTGGCCAGAAGAAAGAGGCAGAAGGCAGCAGCGTTCTCTGAGGTGCACGCTGTCTGCGGCGAGGGCCAGCACCGAGAAGGAAGAAGAGGACAAGAAGAGGCCTGTGGATGAGGGATGTGGGTGAAGCTGTTCCGCTTTCCATGCTCAAGTAGTGCATGTTCGCCAGGGCAGACACGCTGGTCATGGATTCGCTGCGACGGATCTTCCACGAGGGTGACACCGATGGCTCCGGCGAGCTGGACATGGAGGACTGGAATCGATGTTCTCTGGGTGCCTCAAAAAGGGAGCAAGTCCTCGAAGTCAGGAGTTGCATGCTTTGGTGCACAAGCCGAAGGCAAGGATTGTGCAGATTGCATCCCTGGCTTCTGCAGGGGAGGTGGGCCAAGCTTGGAGGTACGAGATCGGCTCAAGATGCTGAAAATGCCTTTCAGCGTCCGCGGCCTTGAGCGTGTCGCTGTTGACGGCTATAGCGAGACGGAACCCGACCATGGCCTCTGAAGGATCTTGACCTCCTCTTCACCTTGCTGGACACGGAAAGCAAAGGGACGGCCAGGAACCGAGAAGCCTTGTCTTCGGCCTCTGGGGGTCAAGCTGCCTGCAAAGAAAAAAGCCCCAAGGTGAACACGGACATGTTCTTCCGTGGCTGTGCCAAGCTGAGGACGGGGGCATCAGAGCACAAAAGGGGCTCCCGTTTTTTTTCGTGTGACTGTTGGCCCTCGAGTGGAGAGCAGGGGCCCGGCAATGGCCTGTGACTTGCACCAGCTCTCCATCGACCTGAAGCACAACTTGGCGCCTTGCCTAGACTTGCCTGCCTTGGGGCGGCGTCAGAGATCCCAGCGTCCAATCGGAACTGCAAGGAGAGTTGCGACCACAACTCGGAGCGCATCCGCCAAGTCAACGAGACCCTGGCGATCGTCTTGGACCACGTGGACGATGCCCGCCGCCAAGTCCGATGCGGATGCCCGTTCGAAAGTCCGCGAATGCAGAGTCCCTCCGATCACTCCATGCGCCGACTCATGTCAAGAGACCGCACTGAGATGGACATCAGCATCATGAAGAGCGATGTGGATTTCAAAGATCCGGAAGCTTCGGCAGCAAAGAGAGATTTGGGGCCGAGCCCCAGAGCAACGGCCGCGTTTGCACTCAGGTCCTCGCTGCCCGACAGGTGCGGCCCAAGACCTCGAAGTCCGACATCATCCGGGGAAGGCCTTTCCCAGCCCCCCAGCCCCTGGCCAAAAAAGGGGCCATGGACACTCTGCTGAGCAGGTGGCTGATCCCCGTGGCCCACAATGAGCAGAGCATGTGGCTTGACCTGGATCGCCAAGCCAAGCTGAACGAAGCCAAGGCCGCCCCTCGCCCCTCGCGCCTCGCCTCTGTTTCTTAAACGCTTCCGATTGGACCCCGCGCGTTTTAACAGGGCGACCTCGGCTCGGCCAAGATCCACGCTTTGACCCCCCAGGTCCCCCAGGTCAAGGTCAAGGACCTGCAGCGCAGCGTCCTTTTTGTTCTGCTTCAAAGAAAGCTAAGCCTCGATAAGAAAAGAGAGCCACCGCGCCTTTTGCGGAGGAGCGAGCTTTCCGCGACAGCATAGAGCCGTGGCTCGCTCCAGCAGCATTTGTTTGGCGGCTGTTTGTTGCCGGGCCAAGGACCAGCCACCGCCGCCGCCCATGCCTTCACGTATTCAGCCTCTCAAGGATGTGAAGTTGTCACAGGACGGAATCCGTGCTCCCCCCTAAAAGAAGGCGCTTCTCAAAAAGATCTCTCAAAGAAGCCGCAGGTTGAGCAAGACCGGGCGAGGCTGAACAACCAGATTGCAAAGGCGCAGCTCACGACTCCCAGCCTTTGCTAACAAAGAGCAGCCTCCCCTCCGAAAAACAGCGCTCCCCCGCCTGAGGCGCTGCGGAAGCTCCATCGCTTCGACTGAGGCGTAGAGCCCCCACTAAAAAGGGTTTAGGGATTTAGGGGTTCAGGGGTTTAGGGTTTAGGGGTTTAGGATAATCCAGCCCAAGGCTGTGCGCTGCAAAGACTGCAGGGTCGATTTAGCAATGAGCCCTCTGCCTGTTAGGAGTTAGGTAAATCATATACCGTGCAACCCACCGCAGCGACTGCACGGAAAGTCAGCTATACCAGACCCATGGTGAGCAAGAGTCCAAACCTCTTCCAGGCGCATGCGAAGAAGTCGTAGAGTTAGATCCCGGTTTCACAGTGCATCAATTAGGGCAAGCAGTGCTACCCTCTGCTTCAAGGCAGATCGGTCAGAAGGCTTTTCGCACCTCGAGGAAAAAGCCTTCAAGACTGAGTTGGTGAAGAGGAAACCCTCAACGGGCCTGCGCGCCTAGGGCCTGAGATCCTAAGCTTCACTCTCAGGTGATGGTGCCCTGTCAGCACAAAGGCTGTCCTCAGACCTTTACGACCAAATCTGCCGGGGGCCTAGGGATGCAGATGATGGAAGAGTCTGTCGTTTCGATTGAGATTGAGGCCATGAGACTCCATTACCGGGTGGCGCACCTGAACCTCAAGGAGTATCTCTGCAGGACGCCCCCCCCTTTCGCCCTGTATGCTGCGCTCTGAGCCTTGAGAGCTTCGAAGGCACTGCGGGGAGGTCTTTGCCTACAAGCGCGTGCTGCGGAACCACTGCGAGAAGGCCTCGCGAGCCGAGTGGCTGAGCGTGCCGTTTCGGCTGGGGGATGGGACGAGGTGCATAAGATCCTGCCGACAGAGGAGGAGCTGAAGCCTTGCAAGGATGAGCAGGACCGAAGTGGTCGACTGCTCCTATTGCTGCTCCTAAGTACTCCTCCCTCCTGCTGCTGCTGCTCCTGCTGCTCGCAAGCTCTGCTACTGAGTACGATGCCTGCTACCAGACTACCGCTGCTGCTGCTACCACCGCGACATTTGATTGCACTTGGCGTGAAGAGATGCTTGGGTTCGTTGGGGGAAAACACGAACAACCTGTCCCTCACTTCTTAGCCCGGTCGTCACTATGTCGTGTACCGCAGCAAGCTGATCAGTCCAAAGAAGGGACTCGCGCTCTAAAAGCTCCCGAAAGCCCGCACTGATCGCTCGGACATCCCGCAGGAGCGTGCCAAGTACGCTCGGGTGGAGCCGCTTGCCTCCACCGGCCCAATGCAGGGTTTGTAGGCTACAGTAAATAGGTTTGGGGCGCAGGGTGTTCTTGTGGCTCCTTCCCTCAAATCGCAGGCTGCTGTCATTGGTCCCACATTGCTGATAAAAGTCGGTCTGTTGATTTGGCTGCATGGCATGTCTAAATTTTGCCACTCGCGGTAGCCCTTCATTGGTCGAGTCGCTGCCCGTGAACGGCTGCAGTCCATCCATCGGTCTGTCGAAGTCTTCGCGTTTGCTCTGTTTGTCTGCCTGCCTGCCTGCGTGTCTCTCTCTCTCTCTCTCTCTCTCTCTCTCTCTCTTCCTCCTTCCCTCTCTCTCCTTCCCTCCGTGGGTGGGTGGGTGGCTGGGTGGGTGGGTCTTTGTGTGCATGTATAGATCTGAGATACGCAGATCACATAGATGCCCCTGCATGCATACAGACGTATGTAAGTAAGTACAACACATGTATACATGCATCCATAAATACAGTGTACCTACATACGTACATGAATAAATAAATCAATGCATGCATGCATGCATACATACATACATACATGCGCACATACGTACATACGTACACATAGGTATTCAGAGAGAGAGAGAGAGAGAGAGAGAGAGAGAGAGAGAGAGTGTAGTGGTACGTGTAGAGATTCCCCGAAAGCCCCAGAACACTGGGGGGCCCTATGGGCCGGGGAGCTTGACGCGCTCCCCTAACCTGAAGGAAGGAAGAGAGAGAGAGAGAGAGAGAGGCATGGGGAGTAATCCTCATGCCCATAGCCCTGCCGAAAGAAAGAGAGAGAGAGAGAGAGAGAGTGAGAGAGAGAAAGTGGAGCCAAAAGCTCAAGGCCCCGAACGCCCTCGCTAGGATTTCTCGCGATAACCGTGAAGGGCAAGAGTGCTGAACTACGTCTTTGTGGGGGACCGAGTGAGTGCAAGATCTTCCTCGTCGACACCTTTGCGGGGGAGGCGACACGGCGACCCGGGGGAGCACGAACGCTGTGTGAGGCGCACCATCACCTCAGAGTCCGTGACTTGGGTCAAGAACGACAAGGTAGCATTGAACAACTACGTGGGCCATGGCAGGACCGGAGGGGATGGCAGGACCGGAGGGGAAAGTATGCAAGCTATGCCGCTATGCTCAAGGGATGTGTCAGATCGGTTTTAGAAAAAGCCACGCACCGATCCACAATGCAGGTTGCATGGGGTGACCGGACGAGCATCGGGGGCAAAGTCAGCCCCGAAACGTCAGGCCAGCCCTCCCCTGGGGGGAGACACACCTGCCGCGACCTCTACTACGACATCCCGCTCCGACAAGGTCCTCTTTCGAACACGGAGGGGATTGCATCTGCAATATGATCCGGAGCCGAGCATAGACCAATGGATAAACTCCGAGGTGCAGTTTGACAAGGAAAAAGGGAAATACCTGAAGCCTACGGGGGAGGTGCTCAGCGCGACCCAAGAAAGAACTTACGAACACTTCCGGAGCAGACATATAGCTCGTTGCCGTGCGGGGGACTTGGCAGATAAGCTTACCCGTATCACGGACAAGTACCTCCCGTTGGTCGCCAACGAAAGCAGAGTCTTCATCATGCGCTTCCCCGAGAAGGTTCCCAAGCTGCTGAAGCGAGTGTGCAAGATTCGAAGACGGATTAAGGCCACCAAGCAGGGGGACACCAAGGTGGCAGTGCAGCCCCCAAGGAGGGGAAAGAGAGAGAGGCATGTGACAAGGGAGAGCACAAAAAAGGATCCAGTGCCATTGCCGCGGGGAACAAAGACAGAGCAGCATGTGACAAAAGGGCACGACGACGACCAGGAAAGCATCCCTGATTGGGGGGATGATGCCGTGGATGATGTCGTGGACACCGCGGGGGAGAACCTTGCAACGACGACAGCAGCTCATATGGCCGAGGGGGACGGCGCTACCTCTATGTGGCCTTGGAGGAATAGAGGCAGACCCTCAGACAGGGGGGAAAGCGTTGGGGTCCTCGCCCAATGACCCAACATGCCTAGTGTAGTACCCAGAAGGCAGAGTGCACAAAGGGGGAGCACACTCCAGCAAGCTGTGCAACTGGTCCAAGCACATATGGCGCAGCGACGAGAAGAACGGGGACGACGACGACCAGATCTGAGCCGTGAGTGAGTCGGGGGGCCTTTTGCCCATGTAAATTTTTGCATCTACTCGTACCTCGCCTTCCTTATGCAGCTTAAAGGGGGGATGTTCAATTGCTTGAGTGCTTGATTATTGTTTTCTGCGTTGGGAAGGGGACCATGTACCTCATTCTTCTAATGTAATTTTCTGAATGGCAACCCGATCCATTCCGTGAGTGCATGTTCGATCCAACTCGAGTAACTCGACACCAAATAATTTGGACAGAGGCGGGGGAGCGAAATCTTTAAGCGGGCCATACGTCTGGCTCTTCTCAGGTAAACTCATTCCGATCCGGGCCAAATGCCCATAATCCCTGTGTGTTTTCAACGCCCCTCTGGCATTGCTTGTCCTTTCCTGCCGTGGGGGGCGGATTGACCAGATAGTGCGGAGCTTAGTTTGGCTGAACGTGAGAGCTTAGTTTGGTTGAGTTGAGTTGTGTTGTTCTGGGGGGGAGGCGCTTGTCAACCGCCCCAATTTGCTTTCAGTGTAAAGCCGAGCCCCCTATGGCAACTGCCCCGTAGGCGGGGCCAGGAAGACCCCTTGAACCGCAGGGGCGCGCTCGCGCGCGGGGGGTAGAGCTGGACCGCTCTGCCCTTCACACCTGGTGTAGAGAGAGAGTGTGAGAAAGTGTAGACACGTGTGTGCACACGTAAGCAGGCCCATCAATCAGATCAAGAGAGACCCAGACAGTGCTTTTCAAAGGCCTCCGCCGAAGCAGGCTCCGCGTCCAGAGCTGCGACCTACAATCGCCCAAGCCGAGTTTTAGTCTGGTTTGCTGTGCAGGTTACTTCTGTTGAGCTTGGTGTGTCATTTCGGGGTTCGGGGTGTGGGCTCGAGAGCCCTTGCACACTGCGGGGTCGGCCAGTATGGTGTTTGAGCGGTGGCCCATGAAAGAAGCCAAAGGCTTTTGCTGTCGCCATTTTCTGCCAGCTGGTACCCAAAGACGAGGAAGGCGAGACAACAAATGCACCTTTCAAAGCAATCTGCTCATGCCGACGTTTCCGTCAGCTGCCAAAACTGGTTCTGGGAATTGCATGATCGCAGCCGAAAGATCGCATGTTTCACGTTTGCCCATCACCAAGACGCGAACCCTGCATCGGAAACCGCACGGCCCCAAGCAGAAATGCCTTGAGCTCGTAGGCATAGGCCACCGTGTACAATCGTATGCTTCTTTTGCGGCCCCGGACCCGGAGCTTACCTAAAGCCCTAGGCTTCCACAGCGGCTTTGAAAGTAACCCCCTCCCCCCCCCCCCACGACCCCCATGCCATGGTCTTCCGATCCTCTTCATGGGCCCTGCGGCCTTTTGACAAAGTTGATTGTGATAGATGTTCGCATGTTGCATGGGCGATTTTACTGAGGAACCTGCTGGGCAAGAAGGCGCAGGGGGAGTAGAGAAGGGTGAGTCGTCGTCACCCAGACTCGCATAGGAGAGTGCGCCCAAGCCGCCAAAGCGCAGCAGCACACCCCGCAGGCAAATCAGAGGAAAGGCAGAGAGGGCTAGAATGCTAGACCAGTCTCGTGCGAGGGATGGCGCTCCTTCCGGATTTCGCATCATCGTGCCGGACTACTGCCGGCCCGGCCAGGTCATTTGCGTCCAGGCCCGGGGCAAAGAAAAGGAGTCCGGAGCTCTTTCAAGATGTCGCCTGGCAGGGCCCAGATGGACAGCAAGTGGAGGTGACGGTGCCGATGGGGGTGGGCCCCGGACAGCCCATGTGGGTGCAGGCCAGACGGATCCACCTTCGGCCAGACAAGTCCGATGGGGCCGCTTCGCAGGTCCAGCCACGTGCCAGTGCCAGCACGGCAGCTAGCACGGCCCAGAGCAGCGAGGACAGGGAAGGTCGAATAAAACAAATCAAGCTGTAAATTGCAGTCCGTAAAGCACTCATAAACTGGTCTCTCTCAACCCAAGCCACACCATCCTGAAAGCCGCCCACGCTTACGCTCTGTACCCTCACTGCTCCACAGACTGCGTGCTCCACAGACCCAGGGCCTGGAGGGCCCTTGTGGACGATGGTTTTTGTCTGAAGTTGCTGCTCGTTCGTCTTGCAATTACGTTACGACTTCCCTGCGAGCTTCCGGTGCTTTCTTCAAGACCTTTTGCCGCACCTGATAGTATGACACCGGACAGTGCTTCTGCTGGATAAGAAAGGCCAGCTCAAAGCGTTGGGTACCCTTCATTTCTGAAGCTCCTTTTAGTTTCACGTTTCCACATGCCCCAGCTCTTCACGCCTTGCTCATTTCTTAGCCGGGGCTCAGCACATGGAAGTCTCGGTACTGAGCCACAGGCATTTTGCAGGCTAGACAGACACCGCCAGGACCGTGTCCTACTACAGTTAGTGCCTTGTGCCCTAGGTTTAGGGCCTGGAAACCACCTACATGTCTTATTACGGCCTGGCTCGGAAACTACAAAATATGAAACGTAGCCCCTAGCATTTCTTGTTTTGGCTTCTTTAGCCCTCTGGCTTAGGGTTAGGACATGGAAGCCACCCGAAATGAGAAATGATGCCCAAACTTTGGGTACCCTTCATTTCTTAGCTGGAAGGCATGTTAAGATTTCGGCTTCTTGGTGCCATCCGGCTGACGTAGCCCCTACATTTCTTATCCAATCTTTCTTGCACAGTGATTGCACTGTATGTCTTCTGAGTCTTGCCGTCTCGGACCAGCCATTGCAGCAGTCGCTATTGCAGTAGCCAGTCAACAGCAGTACATCCGTACAGCATGAAGGTTCGTGTTCTGTGGTCATTTGTCAATTGCGTTGGGCCAGAATTCAGAATGGCTCCTGGTCATCTGAACTGGAGATCTCAATCTTCGGATAGAGTGGCTCCATTGCTGTTATGATCACTGTTCTTGTTACGATTACTGTTACTGTCATGCGCAAAAGTATGTTTACCACGGCTATTCATGCTAGTATGACGTACCTTACGTTTCCCATGGCTATTATGGCAACAATTAAAAATGCTCCTTATGTAGCCTTATGTGCTACGACTAGTATGATCGGTTACTGTTGCTACTACTAGGATGATGATGATGATGATGATAATATTGATGATATTGATGGTGATGGTGATGGTGATGATTATGATGACTGCTATTATTACTGTTGCAATTTTTACCATGTCGGTTAGTAGGATTACTGTTACTATCATCACTCTTATTACTTGTATTACTATTGCTAGTATTACTACTGCTACTGCTATTATTCTTTTCAGGTCGAGCCGTATATCCAACACGATTACTGTTACCTTTCGCCGTCGTTCATACTGTATTTGCTATTACTCTGGACTACGCATGCGGCCAATACTACTGCGACCACAACCCCCTGAGCCCCTGGCACTGTCTCGCTCTCTCTCCCTTCTCTCTCTCTCTCTCTCTCTCTCTCTCTCTCTCTCTCTCTCTCGCCGCCAACCCCCCAACCAAGAAAACAACATCAGTGCTGCGACGTTGGCTGGACAGTAAACCTGATCCCTGTTTGACTTCTGTTCATCCCTTTTTGATTTTGCTTTGACCGTACCCTCGAGAAAATATGACATTCTAATTCTTGTTCATCCCTATGACATGACATCTGCATTTGAGCTTCATTGATCCTTGTTTGACTTTGGATCCCTCAGCCTCAGTCGGAACCACTGAGAGAAATCAAAGACATTCTGGACAGGAAGAAGCAGCACTGCGGCCGCAAGCAGCAGAGAGAAGTGCCCTGCAACGCCTCCGAAGCACCGGACCTATCCGGGTGCCGAGGATGCCATGGTGCGAGTCCTCGAGCAGGATGCCCACAGCGCCTGCGAGTTTGCTCAGCGCAGGCGCCCACGGCTGAGCTAAGCCGGAGCTTGTCGAAAAGGTGCGTTGTATATGAATAACCAGGCTCTTGGAGGAGATGCAGATGCAGATGGCCTTGTGGGCAATGGCCCTGCAAGTTTTGCTCTCTTGGCCGAGCCGCGCTGTGCAGCTCCAAGGCTTCTGCCGAGGCTGCTGGCGAAGGCGGAGCAGCGAAGCGGTCGTTGAGTCCTGCTTGCGGGTTTTTGTGTGATAACTAATAACAAGAATAGTAATAATAGCAATAATCGTGAGATGATCTGAGATGGTCAGGTGCTCCAGAGAGCGATCAGCTTCAAGTGGCAGCCTCTCAGCCCGAGCTCTCCCAGACACAGGCGAGCCCACAAACGCGCGACGGACCAAAAGCACCTGCGCATCCGCCTCAGGCGACACTCCTTGCGGCAGCTGAGGCAGGGGCGTGTACTTTGGGGTCATGCGCCGGTGACGGCTAGTGTGTAAGCATGGGGCCGGAGGAGGGCAATGCAGCCCAGCTCCTCGTGGCACTGGCTGAGGCCAAGCGGTGAGCTTTCTTTAAGTTTAAGTTGGCTGTGCAATAGAAGACAATCGCAAGGAACCAGGAGCACACAATCGGATTCAGAAACTGCGGTTCAGAAGCTTTTCTGCACCGAATCAGAAACTAGAGCGCTGGACTCAGAACAAATTCTGCCCGGATTCAGAAACTATTCTTCCCAATTCAACAACTAGCGCCTGATTCAGACAACTCTCTCGATTCAGAAACAGAAAGAGGTTCCGAACAGCCCACGCAGCATGCAGATAGCAGAGGGAGGTACAGAGATGGCAGAAGATGGTATGTACCGATATCAAGCTCCCCCTTTCTCGCCTCGTAAACGACTAAACGACAGAGGAGGGACAAGAATGACAAGAATGGTAGTGATAGATACTAAAGCTCCCCTTCATCCTCGCCTCGAAGGATGAGAACGATAGATATCACGATCCCCCCAGTCGTCGCGCGAAAGGCAGAGGAGGGACACAATTTTTGAAATCCGCTCCGCTGGCCTTCCGAAAGACAGAGGGACAGATACAGATGGTAATGAGAGGTATTAAAATTCACCCCCTTGCGCCTCCCGTCTCGCTCCCTCATTTGCCAATTGGGTCGGCGTTGATCCGATCCCACTTGTTACAAACCGGCCCCCCCCCCTCATTAGGCGATGGCGATTGATCCTGCATCTTAAACCCGCTGCATTGGGCAATGGCGAGCTGATCTTTACAAACCTCATTGCAATTTTATACTCGGCGATGGCGATTGATCCGATTTCGTCAACCCGACTCCTCAGTAGACTTTCGTGGCTGCTCCCATATATATTCAACCCGACTCCTCAGTTGGTGATGGCGATTGGTCCCATAGCTGAAACCATGCCGACTTGACTAGGCAACAGCTGAGAACCCTATAGACCTATTATAAGCTAGTCAAGCTAGCAGCCCAGACCCTGAGAGCTTGAGGCCCTATATCCCCTTGTAGTTCCCCAGTCCGCGCTTTGAGTTTCCGACAACTGGTTTCCGAATGGGCGTCTAGTTTCCGAATCCGCCGTTATCCCTAGTTTTCAGTTGCCGAATCCGTGCGCGACCGCGGAAGGGTACGCAAGGGTCAGACCATGGGGATAGACACTTGTGCGGGATGACCGACCGGCAGGCCAAGAAATTCAGCGTGGTCTCCATCTCCCTGGAGGCGGCAGAGCAGGGCATCCCATGCCGTTTTCCTTTGCAAGGTATGAGGACACTGAATTCCCAGCTTGGTGTGCATCTACTGCGTAAGCCTGGAAGTAGTGTGAAGAGACGCGGTTTTGCATAGTACTTGACAGTCGTATGTCAAGTGCAGCGCCCCAATCGTTTCGATTTGTCATGGGTTTGTCTGGTGAATTCCTTTCGCTCAGCGGAGGAAGCCGCCAAGGGCTTGCGAGAGTCGGAGGAGGCGATGCTGAGACTCGGCAGCAGAGTGAGTGAAAAATGGAGCGTATACGGCGCGAGGCAGGTCTGCCTTCCAAAAGGGGACAGACGTGTCAGAGTCCTCTGTGTGGGACGTGGGAGCTGTGGCATTTCCAGGACTTGGCGATGTCTGCGGAGAGCCCTCAGGGAGAAGGACCGCCACGACCTCGAGGCCTCGAGCCTGAAAGGGGAGCCCGAGCGGAGTGGAGAGGAGCGGAGGAGCTGCTTGCGCCCCTGGCGCCATTGCCAGCAGGTCTGGAGGGAGCACGCCTCCAGCCTCGGCCTGGAAGTGCCAGCGGTGCTGGAACAGGTGGGGACGGAGGGTGTGCGGAGGGTGCAGAGGGCCATGCAGCCGCTCCGCTGTTAGGTGCTGGAGGCCCTGCGTGGGCCCGGCGGCCCGGTTTATCGGAGCCCTCCCCCCACACGCCTTGTGAAAGCGCCTTGTCTCTCTGTGTCTCTTCTCCCCTCCCTCTCTCTCCCTCCCTCCGAGGCAGGAGCAGGAGCTCCTCCAAAACCTCGAGAAGCGCCGGGACCTGGAGCAGAGGCCGAAAAAGCGGGGGGGTTCCCCACACTGTGCTCTCCATAGAATTATTTAGGCGGGTTTGAGTTTGATTTTGATATATATGTACTCAAACTTAAAAGGGGGATAGGGATATTCTACTAGATGATAAGAGGCTCGAGTTCGCGGAGGAGTGCGGGGACGCGGAGCTCCTGGAGCAGGTTCGGAAAGTTCAGTACTCTTTTCTCTCGGCACTCTTCTGTGGATTTTTCAGGAGAAACTAGAGAGCCCCCCCTCCTTCGATTCAGGTCCGTCGAGAGGCGGCTCTCCTGGGCATCCATGGAGGACATGGAGGCATTAGGGAAGAGCGGGTTTCTGCTATCGACTTCAGCTTTTCCCATGGTTTTTTCGCTGCATCTCAGCCACCTCGCAGCGAATCGCAGCACTTCGGCTCCACATCCGATACACCGGAGCGAATATAAAGACTGCAGTCAGAAGTCGAAGCGGAGCTCTAGCCTCAAGACGCTTTCCACCCAAAGCTATGCTCAAGTCAAGACGCTTCAAGTTACAAGCTGTGACCAGCGCCCTCATCTTGGCCCCGGGCTCGCAGGAAGCAGAGTGCTCTCAAGACAGCTTCAAGTCTCTGACGCTCTGAGGTCTCCGTGCCCCGGGCTTTCTTCCTGGCGCCAAAGCCGCGCCTCCTTGTGATTCTTGATCTGGACTCCGGGGTACCTCGGTTTCCCATTTTGCAGGATCGTTCTGATTCTGATCCTGCGAGGATGAGACACTGCTGCACGCCTCGCTCTGCGACAGCACAGCCTTTGGGGACCTTCCGACCGAAGCTCTGAGCTGGCACGTGGCGTCGGCGTTTTTTGTAGCAGCTCCCGCATCTCCCAAACCCAACGGGCAGGCTCCCATCCCGACTTTGGCAGCCACAAGTCGACTTCCAGGCAGGGCCGCTGTCCCAGGCCGCCTCCTACGCAGCTACTTTCCCCAACCGCCAGGCAGCTGGCAAAGGTCTGGTTCTCGGGCTTGCAGCCCAGAGCTCTTGAGGCTCTTGACAAGATGCTCTGAGATGCACGTCTCTCGCTATGAGGTTGGGAGAGGAGCTGCCCTTGTTTGTCTCCTTGCGCCCAGGAGATCCGTGAGTTCCTCCGGGGATCTAAGAGGTAGCAACAAGCTTGGAGTCGCAGGAGCACAGAAATTCATCAGCTGGCTGAAGAGCAAGCCCGACATCGAGATAGCGGTCATGCCCTCATGTTCGAATCCCTTTTCGATTTTGGGCCATGAAGAAGCAGCTTCCATGATGCACCGACAGTGACAAATTCGGAGACTGGTGCAGCCCGCATGAAGCCTAACGCACCCATCTTTTTGTGCAATCACGGGGTGCATGCGATTTTCAAGCACGACTCGTGCAGCAGCGATCTGCCACGTGAAGGATGATAGTGCGCAGATAGATGGCACAGTCACAGGATTGCGACATCACTCGTTCATGACATGTGACACAGACGCATGCAGAAGCGTTATTGCAGCATGCAACACTCGTGTCCTGCCAGGTGTACACTGCCGGCACAGAGGCATGGGGGTTGCTGATGTGGTAGGCGATGGACTCTTTACGAGCACTTTCAGGGTGAATCTATGATTTTTTCCTCGAGGCTCGTCTTCCCCTCTTGGACAAAAAGATGTGCTTGCACTTGTGCTGTCTTGTTTAGTGCGCGTGCAGTAGCTCCCCGAAGTACATGTTCGCAAAACGACGACATAACGGCACAGGTCATTGAACATACATATGGCAGTCTACACGAATAGGCCCGACCGTGTTAGTCTGCAGGGAGTTGTATCGAAGGCTAAATACAGACTTTCACGGCTTCAACGAGGCGCCAAAGAGGTGTCACTGTCATCCTCATCCTCATCATCATAGAGAGCGGCATTCATTCTCTCACTCAGACTCAAACTGAGCCGGTGCACATGGGTGCGCGGGGAAGGGGCGGGGGGGGGGGGGATAAGTGAAAGGGATTTCTCAGGACTGGCACATTATACATTGCTCACCTGCCGCGATATATCATTTATAGTCATTTCATCCCCAGTTTCTTAGTTCATCTCATTCGTTTCCATCATCATGCCACCTTATACTCGTGATTTCTAAGGATTCTAAGGGGTTTCTAGGGACATCATACCTCATTCGTTTTCGTAATCTTTCCACCTTATTCGGTCTTCATTTCTTGAAGTGTTACACCCCCATTTTTCACAGAGTATCCAATTTACCACAACCCAGGATTGAGAAACAGATAGAGAGCAGGAGTTTGAGGAGAGAGAGAGTTTCTGCTTTAGCCTTTGAGGCCTATGCGCGGCAGAGCGTGGCCAAGCTGGGCCTCGCTGGCGTTCCCGCGCTCTTCCGCGACGCCTGCGTGCCCTTGGGCCTGCCGGTGACCAAGGATGCTCCCCAAAAAGTAGCCGCCGCGAGAATTCAGCCGTGGGAGCCGATAACGACGACGAAGATGGCGGCCGTGCTGCTGCTCGTGATGATGGAGATGCCGATGATGAATGCCACTGATAAGAACGATGATGATCGTGGTGATGCTCTACGTTGTTGCAAGGATGACGGTGACGGCGATGATGATGATGATGATGATGATGACCGTGATGACCATGAAGATGACGATATCTTGAGTGCGAACAGATACGGGCCAAGGAATCCAACTAAAGCAGGTTTCGGGGGGGTATCCGCGCCTCCGAGACACAGAAGCCCAAAGCCACTGTGGCAGAATAAGTCGTGGACTCTTTCGTGGCGGCGGAAGCAGTTAATCAGCCGCATCTTTTTCATCGTCCACTCGTCCTACTCACCTGCATCTTCAAAGTCGGTTTTCATTTATCGTCGTAGGGCCATCCTATGAGTCGCATGTCATCACTATCCTCTAAGTTGGCTGCTGTCCACAGCGCAGGACTTGACCAAGCTTGGTCGAGATCTCTCCCGGGTGGTGCTGGTCGACAACTCCAGGAAAGAAACGCCTATGGGGAAGCACAGCAAAAGCCCCTATATAATTCCGAAGCCGCTGCTGACACAGGAGGTCCTTCTGGCTGCAACCTGAGAATGGCCTCCTGGTGTCAGATTGGAAAGGGAGGAGCCGCGACACGAGCATAAGGGCTTTTAGGCAGCTGCAGGCCAGGCTCAGGCTTGGGCTCCGTGTGCTTGGCAGGAACCCCGAGGACAAAGAGTGGCTACCGACACAGTTTAAGAGCAGCATGCTGGCTGCTAGCAGCGCATGCAGGGGTGGTGACAGCCAGGTTGGAGCGCATTCGGCAAGAAGTCGACGAGCTCTTGGAGCTGGAGGATCCAGCGACTGTCCACCTGCAGCTACGACTAAGATCGGTTTGCAGGGACGAAAAACCCGCCCGCTTTGACCAGCCTCACGGCGACAAAAACCGAACACATGCAATCTTGGGCAATTTCAGGATGTGCGGCCGGCGCTGGCGCAGAGGTGCCTCCCCCAAAGGGATGCAATGAAGTTGTCGAGACTCCCAGGGAGTTTCGCCCAGGCTGCCTGCGTCGGATGCGCTGCCGGCTGCCGCGCTGGCAGCCTTGGCGCTTGTGGCACAACCTGCTGCGTTTTGTCATCACTTGCAGGGTCGGCGGGGCGTTTCTGCCTTTCAGTCTTTGTCAGATGCTCTGCTCCGCCAGGCCTTCACTTTTCTTTCTCAAGCTCCCTTGGGCATTCAGCTCGACCGATAGCGAAGAAAAAGGTGCTCTGAGACCGTCCGCCTGCCAGCAGACCATTGCAAGGACCCACTCCGACAGCCCATGAACAAGACTCACCGAAGCCGTCCAAGATGTACTGAGAAGCCTGTCTCGGCAGGCCGCACGCATGGCTCGCAAGCGCGGAAAGAGCAGGACGTCCGTGAGGAGGCCCTTGTATCACAGAGCAGCAATACTCACGGCAATGATCTCTATACAGTAGTCCTGAGTGCCACGCTGTCCTTCATTGTTTTCTGGTGGCCGAGCGAGCGGGCGTGTACACGCCTGAACATGGTGTTCATGCAACCTTACCGTCTTTGTCCACCCCGCGTGCACCGACCTGCGGGGCAGGAAAGGGTTGGAACCATCACGTTGCTTCCGTCTTTGTCTGGTCTCGTGGCAGATACCCCTTGCTGAGCAGGAGTTAGAAGTGTAAATTTGTGTGTGTGTGTGTCCAAGGGCTAGCACTGCAATCATGATTGCCTGACACAAAGAAAAATGTGAGCAGGGGGGACTGCATCCAACAAAGATATGATGTGGGGGTGCGGGTGGGGTGCTGCGATCGCGGCGACTGCGGCTGCAGGTGCGGATGTGGGTCGTGTGGGTTGCGTGCTGCTGCTGTTGCTCCGTTGCTTTCGCTGTTGCTGCTGCTGTTTTTTCTGTCAATTTCTTCCTGTCGTGTTCGTCCTTCCCACTGCTGCTACTCGTACTGTATTGTATCGTGGTAATGACTGGTAATTATGATGCATGCTCTGCTTCTTGTGGCATTTTGGGAAAGCTGTGCCTCATACAATCAGGACACCATGAAGAAACAAAGTCGGAGACAGGATGCGTCTGAGCCGCCGCCGCCGCCGGCACCGCCGCCGCCGCCTTCCTCTGGTGCTGCATCCAGCGCGGAGGAGGCAGTTGAGGAAAATCGGGATTGAAAAAGAGGAAGTGAGGTACTAGTATGGCGATTCCTGCTCGAGAGAAGTCATGAGGCTGCCTGGGGTGATAGGTTTGCTGTCATACAGCTTTCCTGCGAGGACCCGAGGAGTGCTGGGGGCTTGGACTGGACCCAGGTTGAGACAGGCAGCTGATGTGGCGATTGATCTAACTGCTGCAGGATTCCTTTTTGCGGTTCTTGCGAATGCTTTCGGATCTCTGATACTAGTTACAGTTTGGACCAACTGCACTATGGCATTTGTACAGCATTTGATGCCGCTGCTTCCCTTGCTTTAGACATGCATCCGGTATACTCGGTCTTGCAAGTGGATCCGGCTACGTATGCGCAGTGTCGGCAGCCCGTTGGTGTTGTCCTCCTTGATCCAACCAAGACGCGGGAGCTGCTGGACGAATGCAGAAAGCGGGGCCTGGACACCTCTGGGTCTGGCACCCGGCAGTGAGGGGCAAGCACTCTCCGAGAAGCAGTTCTGTCAGGTGTCAAGTCAGGGAAGACCTCCTGAATCTGCGCGCCGCCCAGCTGTCTTCCAGCGCAGGGCAGCCGATGGCAGCCGTCAGCTCACGCAACGCAGCGTTCCCGAGGCTGCGCGCCCAGCCGAGCCAGGGAGGCTCCACTTCCTCGGCCTCTCCACCTCAGGACGACTTCACGACTTTCCACACACTCCTAGAATGCGGAGGTAAATGTGAACAGTCTAGCTGAAGAGCTGCAGGCCGAGGCGCAGCAGAGGCCAAAAGACGCTGCCAGAGTCGAGTCCAAAACTTGCAGTACAGCAGTCCCCCCTAAACCCCAAACCTTAAACCTTAAACCCCTAAGCCCATAAACCCCTAAACCTGGGAGCTTTTTTGGCGAGGCCGCCGCTGCCGAGAGCCGTTGCGACAAAGGTGCAGCCGCCTCCGCCGCAGGCGCACTCTGACATTAGGCTCTTGTTCGCGATTTTTGTTTGGCCTGACCTCTTAAGTGGTGGCTTCATTTTGACGGTTTTTTGGGGCAGTTTGTGGGAGTTCCGGAGTCCAAAACTCGTGCCTGCCTTTTTGCATGGCCTGGAAGCACAGGGTCTTCGCCTGATGCCTCGAGGCGGCGGGAACTGTTTGGGACCGGAGAGTCGTGCCTCCGCGGTATCTGATCCACAAGAGATACGAGGCCGGGAACCGGGAATTTCCCTCCGCCGCTTTTTTGCCTCCAAGTTGGAAGGCTCCCAAGCCTTTGCCTGTTGAGAACTTCAGAATTCAGTACGCTTGGTTAGACTTTCAGATCCCCCAAAAACCTCGCAAAAACTCGGCAAGTCCCCCCACAGAGGAGTCCAAAAAGGCGTCCTCTCTCCCCGGAGGCCCTCTTCCTCCTGGGCCTCGAGCCTGGTCGCCTCCCATCGGCCTCGGAGCTGCGCTCCGCGCCGCGGCCTCGGGATGAGCCAAGAGAACTCCCCAAAAGCTCATACAACAAAAAAGAGGAAATTTTGGGGCAAAGGGCAAAAAGAGAGACAAAGAACTGCCAGCTAGGATACTGTGTGTTGCGTCCTTGGCCTTCCTCCCTCTCTCTCAGTGGGTAGCGGCTGGTGTGCCTGATTGAACCAGAACGAGTGCAACAGGTGTGCTGTGGCGCATGTTGCGCGAATCAGGCTGTTGCTACTGTACTGCAATCATATTTCTTCGGCTTGCTGGGCACTTGGACCCATCGGCATGGGTTGGGGGTCAGTATGCCGAGCTTGGACTCTGGTAGATGAAGTGGCAACTAACCTGTTCGCGTGTAGTGTTTCGGTTCAAGCGGTTCCCCGCCCGGGATAGTCATATTTGCCTCTCGCGATGCCCTACGCGACTCGGGATTGCACTAGCATTTCACCTCTCAAGCTGAAATGGTCCGGGCGGGGGCTCTTCCTCCTGAGTGTGATGCGCGTTCCCGTCAACCTGTGGGCCCTTCAAATGGAGCCCGCCGCAGACTGGGTGGAGTTCTTCTATGGCAGCAGCCCTTTTGGCCCCCAGGCCATGGCTACCCTGGACCTGGTCTTGGTGCGGCCGCTGGTTTGTGCGGCCGGCCTGTGCTTCTGGCTGTGGCGCTACAAAGAAATGGATCTCAAGCTGGCGATCAATAGCCTCGCTGCTCTTGCCCTCTTGGCCGCCTGCTCCTGGTCGACTTCTTTGGACTGCCCAATTTCGCCTTTCTGAGCGTCGTTGCCGAGAACGAATGGGCCATGGCACCGGCAGACTACGCCCCCTACTGCGCCGCCTGGTTCTGGGGGATGCGCGGAGGCTTCGCCTGGTTTACGATGAGTAAGCTGGCCTTGCTCGGGTGGCCTTCGACGGGCGTGTTTGCGTTCTTTGGGTGCATGTTCTGGATCTTCCTTCAATGGCTCCTGCAGATCGGGAATGTTCACAGCCACGTAGTGACCTTTGGCATGTGGGTCCTGCTTGGTCTGTTGGTGCTGATGTGGGCCCTCCCGCTCTTTCGCGAGGCGCAGAGGAAGTCGCGGCAGGTCCAGGATTTGAGTGGCAAGGACCAGCAGATGACAAAGAGCACGCACAGGGCCGTGCAGTCTCTGCGCCGGGGCGGCCTCCTCCTCGTGGTGAGCCCTTTAGTGGCGGCATGCATCACCACAGAGTGGCCTTCCTTGGGCAGGCCCTTCGAAGGGCATTTCTGGCTCATGACCATAGACCACGTGGTGCTGCTGGTGGCCACCCTTGTGCTTGGTGGGGTGGTTGACCCGGCAGGCTCGCAGCACCAGGACTGGAGTTTGATCAGGGGTGGTTGTCTGCGCCGACGGCGAAGGTCTCCTGATTGAGGTTCAATGATGACCTAAGTGTCAGTTACGGCCTTAGTCTGTGGGAATAGTCCCCCGCCTCCATGGTTGCAGTCTTCCAATTGGTCTGTGAAGATGTTGCATTATATTTCACCCTGAGGACGAGGCTCTCGAAGAGCTGGGCTTCATGGGCCACAACCAAGGCAAACGCATTGCCTTCCCGGGACGGGTGAATCGCAGATCCAAGCACTGCATCGTGAGCTTCCCGGGCAAATATGCAGGGGTGCCTGGGCTGCTCACGCACCGCAAACATTTTGAACTTTTCGGGGACCTGGATTGATCGACAAGGTTGAAACTTGCTAGGGGTTTGGATTGGTCAACAAGCAGACACTATGTACAGTAAATATACTACATACATGACTGACACACATCGCCTACATGACATACATAACATGCATACATTACATACATTTCTTACAGTAAATACATACATACGTGCATTCATGCATACATGCGTACATACATACATGCATGCATGCATACATACATACATACATACATACATACATACATACACATTTTTTCGAAGCTTTGCAGCCCAGGAGTGGGATGCGGCGGTTCGGAAGGTGAAGCTCCAGGAGCGGGCGCCGAGCCTCGCATGCGTCTTCCTAACAGACAAGGCTTCGGGTCTCGGGGAGCACAGCGGTCCTCCGGGCCAGTGCTGGTGCCGCGCCTCGGCTGCAGTGCGCTGACGGCTTCAGGGGTAGTTTGCTGGGCTCACAGGTTTCTCTGGTTGCATGAGGGCCAACTGAATCACAAAATCAGTCATGAGGATCTCTCTATGGGCAGATGCCGGCCTCCGCATATTTGAGCATTGTGGAGGATGCCTCCAGCTTGTCCACCGAGCAGCTCCGGTTCCGGCAGGAGGACGCCAAGGCCATGGGCCAATTTCTGCTGGTGCGTGACAGAGAGGATGACGAGCAGTGGGCTGTCGCAAAGCACAACGCGCTGCGGGAGGCGGAGGAACAGTGCCAGAAGAACCAAGGCTTGGCGCCCTGGGGCTGTGAGTGGTTCTCAGCGTGGAAGAAGAATGTGGAGGAGGCAAGGCCACTTGGCAAGCTGGGCCTTTTTTTTCAAGGGACTATTTTTCATTGGGACGTCGGGTGGAGCAACGGTACGGGCGGCCCATTTGCGCCTTGTTCTCTTTTTTGAGGTCCCTCGGGCAGACCCTTCACGTGTTCTACTTCGAGAACCGCGTGGGACAAGGCAAGCTCTCCTGGCAGGATCTGTGCGACGAGGCCAAGATCAGGCAAGCACGTGAAAACAGTGGGCTCGGGGCCTCGCAGACCGCGGAGGTGGCCTATCTGGACAGCATCGGCGCCGACTTTGTAGAACACGATGTTACTGATTTTTACTCTTTCATGGAACAGCACCGAGAAGCTACTGAGCTTCACGATCTCCCAACGGAGATTGAGTAGAGGTGCGATCTTCCTGAAACAGCACCGAGAAGCCGAACGGCTTCATGGATGCATGCATAGATGACCTTGCCCTTCCCCCGAGGTGTTTGTCACCTGTGGTGCGAGAGCGTTTCTCTCTCTGTATACCGAAATCTCTGGGTGTGCCAGATGTGACTGCGGCACGCGTGAAGGAATCTCATCTTCTTAATATCTCGGAAATAATGGTTTCAAAGCCGATTTATTACTCCTGAATTAAATAAGGGGAATAGTTCAGATTGCATCTCAATCGGAAAGATTCTTATAGAATCAAGTCGAGCTTTCACTCCAATATTAGATGAATATCGATCGAAAATAAAGCAGAAATAAGAATAATCAAGAATTATGCCTCCCTCCATCTTATAAGAGATAGCATGATATATATATATATATCTCTCTCTCTCTCTCTCTCTCTCTATCTATCTATCTATCTATCTATCTATCTATCTATCTATATATATATATTGTGATATGAATATTTGTGCGATCGAGAATTTCGAGAATCCGAAGCATATAGAAGCAGCGTTAATACACATAATACCCAGAAAGATAGGAATCAATAATCATATTGAATTGAATATGAAGTCCAGCAGCAGACCAAAGAGCCATTCAAGTTTGGATTGATAAGGCCAGACAAGAGATATCGTCGAGCCGCCTCAAAGATCGAAGGCAAGATCATTTTCTAAGCTATGGGTCCACTACCTTCTTAGAAAGAATGCCACCACCACCACTCGTACGAGTCGTCGTCAATCTTCATCAATGGTCGTCATCGTCCTCCTCCTCCTGCTCCTCCGCCTCCTAAATCATCACCTCCTCATCATCGTCACCAGAATCGTCACCATCAGCCGCCAGCCGCCAGCCCCAGCTTGCTGCTAAGGTATCGAAAAGCGGCGCTCGAATCTCATCCTGACCGTCAGCAGAACCACAGCCGCCAGGCCCAAACCAATGTGCTGCTGCTTTGCTTCGCGTCTCCAGTACTCCTTTTGCTGTTAGGTCTGAGACAAGTACAAATTCAGATGATTGTGTTTGGCTGCTATCGGTTTCACAGTTGGAATGCGTTCTACGCATGCCCTGCGAAGGAGGAGGCAAAGCAGCTTTTCCAGCGGGTCAAGGCCGCCAAAGTGAGGCCTCTTTGCGTTCGACTACTTTCGGCTGTTGGAGGATGCCTTCGACCACCTCACGACGAGTGTTCGCTGATCGTCTGAGGGTGCCTGTGTTAACGTTCTGTAGCTTCTTGCCTGAAGCGGCTAAGCTTCAAGCCTGCAGCCTGCCAAAGTCAGCATGCAGAAAAGAGCTGCCCTAAGCAAAGTGATTAGAGCGAGCCAGATAGACGATCGCCCCTCGTTTCAGTATCAGGCGCATATCTAGCAACACCGCGCTTGCAGAAATGGTGAAATGGGAGTGATACCTTTGCACGCTGTTTTATCCGACATTTGTTCCTGATCCTTGCCGTGGCGGCAGGCCGCTACCGCCGCCGCCACAAGCGCCATCGGAGCTTGTCGCATCAAACGCACGCCATCGAACTTCTTGAGAGTCGGCAGAATGTCGAAGTCGCATGCGTGTGCAGTACCTTTGGTCGCGTGTCAACGCCCGCAAGAAGCGGATTGCTGGACCGGCGGAGAGCGTGTGCATAAACGAATATACACGCCGTATACCTTACGTACATGCAGAGCCCGCCGCCACAAAGCCGTGGAGCCTTGCGCCAGGCGTTGCTTACCGGACTTGAGCTCGTTCCTAGACTCCACGCATGTTGCTGTTCCGCGTGGTCCAACCGCAAGTCCCGCCCCGTGGGCAAGGCGGGTTGAGAAGGCTCGAGAACGCTGGGTGATCGTCCAGCAGGTCCAGCACTCGAACTCCCGCCCCTTACCCCTGCCATCGAGGAAACGCTTGAGGTCTTTTTCGACCTTGTAAATGGCAAGTGCCGCTTCCTGACTGGCATGTTGCGGATCTGTCTGTATTTCTGGATGGAAGATGTGATTTGTCACCGACTTGCGAACGCGTACACCTTGGTTGCTAGTTACGTTTCATGCCAACGTTGTCTCACTCGACTCGCTTCTGGCAGAGTTCAGCAAAACGCCTGCTTGCGCTAGGGTAGCGTAGGTGCTTCCTTTTCCGCTGTGCAGCTAATCTAACGGTTTAGATTCGAATCTGATCTCCTGCATCGCATTGCGTTTGCTGTTGCCTTGTATTTGCTACACGATTGGAGGCGCCCTGCTGTGTGACCGAGAGTTAGGTGGATTACTAAGTGGATTACTCTGCTTTTCACTCAGCTTCTGAGCTGTAGGACCTTTAGTTAGCGTCCGATGGTGTATCTTTGCTTGCTGCTGCCGCCCCTGCACTCGGGTTGTCTCCGACAAGCTCTGAAACGCAGCCGATATCCTGGCGCCACTTGCCCGGTTCGGATCTGTGCTAAGTAGCGCCACTGAGAGATGATGACTCGGATTGGGTCTCCTCGTGTTCCTCCGACTGTCGGTTCTTCACTAGTGACGCCGGTCGCCTCGTCTGCCATGCCGCTGCCACGCCTTTGCATTGCCGCCTTTGCTTTGCGCTGCCACGATAACAGGCAATGCGCACCATTCGCAGCCTCATGCTCTTGCTGCCGATCGTGCCTTGCCTGCTTTGCCGTGCTTTTCTGCGAGTGCTGCTTCCGCTGCTACTGCGACGCGATTCACACCTTCTACGACCGATATCTACCACTCCTGCCCTCTGTCCCCATCCTGAGGGCGTTCGGGCCCTCTTTGGGTCCGGGCAGGGTGACCGGGGCTATCGGATTGAGCCCCCCCCTCTGCGGCTCAGGATGGGCTTGCACAATGCTGTGGCCGAGCCACCACCAAGCCCCGGCCATCGATTTCGGCTGCGGTCGCATGAGTGATGATCCCTCCATTCGGGACGCACTCGGCCCTGATGCCGCCCAGAGCACCGCCGTCCATATTCAACCGCTTGCGTAGGGACCCGTGCGGATCTCGATGTTGCGAGAGATGGGTGTTTGATCTCGCTGAAAACATCTTTAACAGAATCGAAGACCTCCGAAAACGATTTATCACGGAGGTCGACAACGATCGTTCGAACTCGATGAAAAGATTGTCACCCTCAATGAAAATCGATGTGCGTGAAGCTTCATCGCGTTATCAGCGACATCCAGCGATACCCAGACAGCTTACAACAACTGTACATATCGGTATGTCGAACTGGGAAGCACGGATTGGTGTTGTTAAACAAAAGGCGAACTCCCGCATTGAAGCAGTTCGCATCGAGATGGGTCGGTCCCTTCACGATCACAAGAAGCGAACTGACGATCTCGTCGATGATCTCGCTACAAGAGTGTCGCTTTCGTTTCCGCTCGTTGGGGTCATGGTGAGACACCACGGCAACGATCCTATAAGGACAGAGGGTTGCTGGTGACACATAAGATAGGGATTAAAAGCACATTAAAGTCTCTGACAAACTATTTTGCTTTGTGTTTCCATGCGGTACATGCTGCCACGCTGGTCCAGCAATGTGCATTCGGAAAATGGCGCTTGCAGAACGACAGGACGGCGAGACGGGCATAAAGTGCTTCACAAAAAAAGTGAAGCTCTCATTGCCGGATGCCAGGTGCAGACGTGCCTTGCCCAGCTGTCGGATTCAAAAATTGGGACGCAAAATGATACCGACGTCTGGCCGATCGACGACTGGATACTGCTTGAAAACCCTCTTCAAGCACAAGCCATTTCATTCGCGTCATGGTCTCAAGCCTGAGTTTGATGGATACATTGTTGTTTGTCAACACCCTAAGGTGTAATTGGAACTTGTACAATGCCAAATGTGTTCTGTGATTCAACTCGGTGATGTGTCGCTCAAACAAGCTGCCATCCAAATGTCTACCCAAATATTTAGCACAGAATCGGGCATGAGATCTTCCACCATGTTGCCACGACTGTCGAAACACAAAGGCGACTCAACGTCAGAAGTTGTAAATATCTTGGTTTTGTGCGGGCTCAAGCGAAGTCCAATTCTGTCGATCTCCTGAATAAGACTTTCTCCATCATGACCACCAGTTCGTCGGACGTGTTTGCATACATCACGATGTCATCAGCATATCTTACATTGGACAATCGTTCAAGGAGGCCAACATGCAAGCCTTGTAATGTCAATTTGGCGCTCCAGTTCCGGAATGCGTTCTCCAAGCCAGTGTTGAATAGACGTGGGCTCAAAACATCGCCTTGCTTCACTCCGCGTTGGATCCGAAACCATCGCCCGTCTTTCAAATGGCCAGACTGGAACTGATACAGCGTCGACAGTACGAAGATATGGCAATGGCACACCTTTGTCAGACAGGGCATGGAAAAGCGAATCAATCTCAATCCGATCAAAAGCCTTTCGCAAATCAAGGTTGGTGATCCATAATGGTCATTCAATGCATTTCCAACCATTGTCTCCAAGACTGCAAAAGCATGATCGACTCCAAGTTTATGGCAAAAGCCCACTTGATCACAGCTTTGTTCTTCATCCAATAACGCGTGAATGCGGAAGTACTTGACAAGCATGTTGTATGTAATTCGTAAGACTGCAATAGGCCGAAGTTCGAAACTTCAGCGACATCACCTGGTTTGGGAAACATTTTGAATACTGACTCCTGCCAAGAAGGCTCCCAGCATTGATCACGCAACATTCGATTAGAGATGCTGAGCAAAAGCTCCTGCCTTGAACGACCTCCTTGTTTGAACATCTCCAACACAAGCCCCAAATCATCCCCACCTTTGCGAGTTTTTCATCGATTGTAGTTCGCTCGTCAACTCCGACAGCTGGAAACGAGGGAATGTCCAAAAAAAAGGCACCATGCCGCAATTCACGATGTGCTGTCATATAGTCTTGACGATCGGACGTGACAACATTTTTCGAAACGCACCTTTCTCATCTCGACCCCGCCTCTCGAGCGCTGCTGCTCTCGCAAGCAGGACCCCATGCGGCCCGTGCCTTCACAGCGTTGGCAACCTCACACGCTGCTTGAAGCTCGCCGCAGGCCGAAGCTCCGGCAGCACTGGGACCCCGTGGATGGTTTCAAAAGGTGCGTGACCCCAAAAAAGCGCATGCTCTGTGTGAAATCTTCAGTGCGCGGGATTTTGCTTCTGTCCACCTGTGTACAAAGAATGGGGTCTTGAAATGCTGAATGCATTCGGGCGAAGTCCTTACACTCGTCCAGGATGGAATTCAATTTGTGTGTGGCAATGCCTGCTCGCGCTCCTGGGTGAAGAAGGCGCCGCTTTTGGGAGGCCTGGGCTTGCAGTGCGCCGCGCGTACCGCCCCTGCTGCTTACTGGGCCGCCTGGGCCGACGCACTGCCTGTGCCGCACCGCCAGGTGCCTCGCCGAGCTCGCTGCAGGTCCGGCTGCTGCCGCCTGCTTGTGCGCTGCCGCTGAGGCGGGCTGCGTGCTGGATGGCGCTGGATGGCAAGGCCGCCGTTCTTGGCACAATGTACATAACGGTGTGCGCCCCGCGCACTGCGACCTACCTGAACCTAGCGAGAGGTGCCCAGGTTGGCAACATCACGGTTCCCGCGCCTGCTCTACCCACGCTGCGTTCGCAGTCTGGGCCGCACGCAGGCGCGTGGCTCAGTGCCATCCCGAGCGAGGCTGGCTCCGCATGGCCCCGCTTTGTCGCTCTGCTGTCGACGCCTGTGATGCCTATGGCGACCACAACGCACCGACTGCTCGCCCGCCGAGCCACAAGCCCCTCGAGCAAGCATGGGTGCGCATCGTGCGTGCGGCTGTCGGACCCGAGGGCCAGGTCGTCCCACAGCAGCGGTTGATGCGCACGTCAGCACGCTATGTTGACCCCGCCGATCGCCACCGCCTTGACCTTATTGTCGTGTACGGGGCCACTCCGCCTGGCGAGGCGTTGTGTTGCGACGTGATGCTCGTGTCGCCTTTGACACGCGAGGGGCAGCCCCAGCCGTTTGCTGCCACTCGCAATGGTGGCGCCAGCACTGTTGCAGAGAGGCGCAAGCGTGCACCCTGAACTGCTACAGGTTATAGGATGTTTTTTAGGACATCGAATGGCAGCAGCAAGTCCCTAAGTAGATTGGTAGAATCCGTCCCGGCCTCATTCAGCTGGTTTGCTGCTCTTACAGCTCAGAGGACCACCTAGGCTTCAGCGGACAGCACAGACTTTTTTCTCGCACACTTTTTGCGAACTTCATGCATCACCGGTTCGCCCGCA